CATAAGGAACCTCAACTCATCAATTTTCGTGGTGTCTTTGTTTGAGCATAAGTGATTGGTTATGAGTAGTTGTTATTAGAAGACCTTGTGGAATATCACCTAGACATATCTAGGATTCTTTTTTCTTCGATTGCATTAATAGTAGGGTTAATACCACTCAAAACTTGAACTATAAAAAAATGACAAGTGAGGCACGTGCATCCATGGAATATTGGGTTGATAACACCCAAAATGGTGTTATTTAGAATTCATAATTAGGTTTGTTTTTAGACATTTCATGATCTTCATTTTCAATATATCGTCAAATATGCCCTCAATAGGTTCCTATGAGAAAATATTGGTATTTTAGAGTGTACTAAATGATATAAACAAGTTATGTACCAAAAAGGGGCAAAAATGGCGATCAAAACCGAGGGAGCCAAGATCACGGTCGAAGGAACCAAGATCACGGCCATGAAGAGAGGGCATGAATTAAAGCACCAAGATTATAGCCTTAATTGCTAATATCACAGCCACGAACTATGGTGCCAAGGGCGCAAACTTCAGAAGTAGCCACCAAGGGTGAAGTAGAGAGTCTCACCAGTCGACTCGTGGTTCTATTCATCCGTGCCCGCGATAAAGATCGCGATCATGAAATCAAGCATCGCAACCATGATGTCAGGCCCCGAACTCCACATACAGCAAGTCTTAAAATGGTGACCCTCAAGATCGGGCCTCTCCCCCAAAGATCACAACCGCAATCTTCTGCCCGGTGCCCGTGAACTTGCCCGTGTCCTCATAAATTATATAAATAGGGGACTCCTCCTCTTGAGTAGATTGGCTTTTGACAGATTTTTTACTCTAGACTGAGGTTAGAGAAAGAAGTTGAAGGAAGGACAAGAAGAGAATGAGGAAAATAAGGACGAGTCAAGGAGGACGGGAGCTCTCCTCAATTCAAGTCTTCTTCTATTTAAGGTACTTAAAAACCCCCAAACCCTAGACTTAGGTTTTGAATGTAGATGTGATTGTGTTAGGGTTTGTGTATGCATTTGTTTGTTTCAGAGATTATATGCTTCATTTATACTTGATTATGTTGTGGCTTGTCTCTCAAACTCTTCCCTACTAGCCTACAACGGATACTCAGAACTAGATGGGAGTTTTAGGGTTAGACTGTATTTGAGCACCTTAAGGCTAGTTAAAGGTAGATGAATAACCTTAGGGTTCCTTTTAGTGGAGGAGGCAAGCAAACCTCTGCTGGAGGAATGCCTTCCTGAGATAATGCTAGAGATGATGCAAGCATCATCGATCCATCACTTTAGTGTGCATGATAGGTTGAACCTATTGAGAGGAACTAGTGGTTCTTCCATATTACGTGAGCTTTGACTGAGGTGGCAATGGGTCTCTGAGAGTGGACTAGGAGGAGGCGGATTAATCATTGAAACCTCAATCTAGCGATTTCTGCACCTTACCCTGCAAACCAAACATAGTTACCCATTTGCATGATGAACCTAAGTTTAGGGAGAGGAATTTACCCCAAGTGCCTCTTCTCCTTTATCGATATATACGTTAGTAATCGTCAACTGCTCACATGCTAAGTAATAGGTTGACTAGATAACGACCGAGTCTAAGTACCCTAGGATACCATGACCCTTGAATACGACCTCGGTCACCACTATATTACTTCACCAATCTAGGGTGCACTTGTCCTAGGTTGGAGTAGCTAGTATTGTAGACGATCGAGTTTATAAATGTAAAGCTTGATGTGCGGCCGCATCATGGGTCGACTTCAAGAGGGAGATTAAGAAGTCATTCTACCTCTAAAATGCAGATTTTGAAGCAAGATCTCGGTTAGTGCCTTGCTCATAAGGAAGAAATTTGTGGGTATGTGAGGGAGTTTTCCGAGTTTCTCATTGAGATACTCAATTTTCCAAACAAGGTGGCCTCGTTAGCATTCTTGGATGGTTGTCAACCATGGTAGAGATACAACGTCCAATGAGGTTCAAGCCTCAAGCATCTTGAAGATGGTGGAACGTTTTAGATGACCATATAAGCATGTGGAAGGATGCAGAGACATATTTGTAGATAGATGTGGCAAATAGATTGAATTGGTGGATACATGGATCAAATGGATTGGTGAATTCATGGATTAGACCAAATGGATTGGTGAGTTACATCATGGATCCAAGTGGTACCTAAACATTGGGTAATTAGCATAAACGGCCACAACCTTTGCACTTAGTACAAAATGGTCACAAACCTTTAATTTGTAACGATACAGTAACACTAATTTGAGTGTATACCAAAACAGTCATTTTGTCCTTCTCCATCCATAAATATGTTACTTTTGTCCAGTCTACACTTCACATCACAAAAATTATAAATAAAAAATTTACTTAACTAAGCGCCCCAACTTACTCGGACTCAACCCACCCCCTCTTTTGAAACATGTAAGATGACAGTTACAAAACTTTCCGTTCATAACAAAATTGTCAGACATTCTCATTGAGGCATGGCAATTTAATTCCAATTGCTCCTGCCATTGTCCAAGTGTTCTCAATTATGTAAGTTGCCTCTCATGCTCTAGTCTTTGAATGTCGTTGATTCGGACCTAATTGTACACTTTTTATCCCAGTTTCTCTTTGAAGTTTGTGGCAATTGAGCTCCAAAAGGGGTGGTTTTACGCTAGGTTCCTTGTGTTTCAATGTGTTTCAGAGTCTAACAGGTGAAACCAACCCCGGAGTCGAAAGTTGGAAGAAAAGGAGCAAAGACCGGGCAAAGAGGAGGATTCAGCTAGAGTCCATGGTCCAACATTGGAGTTCATGGTCGCCAGGACCGTGAACTGGAACCATAAACTGTGAACAGCGAAGCGTCCAGAGGGGTTTCTGAGGTTACTGATGCCAAGGCAGTTCACGGTTGCTAAGACCGTGAAGTGTAACCACAAAACGTGAACCCCATAAGTGGAGCGGTGCATTTTGATCCAGCTCAGTGAGTTCACGGACGTGTTCTGATGTTCACAGCCGTGAACTGGGCACGATCTCAGTATAAATGGAGAGCTGAAGGGAAGAAGAGGGAGAGCCCAAAGTGAGAGAAACCTTCTTCTTCTTGAAACCCTAGAGAGAGAAAGTCACGAACCAAGAGGGAGAAGAGGGCAGGGTTTGCTCCAAGTGAAGATTTTGGAAGCTCCTCTTCTTTGGAGGATCTCTACAAGCACATGGAGAGTTGGAGGCATCACAATGATGGTTTCTTTCTTCCTCTTTTGTGTTCTTCCTTTGTCTAGCATAGAGTAGTTTCCCTTTTCACTTGGGTGTTGTAGAACCCTAACTACTATCATGTAATTGATTGTGTGGATTGAATTATTGTTTGATGGTAGTGTTTAATTTAAGAATGGAGGTATTTTTCATGGTGATTGTGCATATTGTTTCTTGGCAATCTATTGTGGTATTCTAACCTAGATTAGAGAGAAGCCCCTTATCTTAAGAGGCTCAAAATTGAGCTGAGTTTTCTTAAGCATTCCATGCCTTCTTACTAGGTTAATGAAGGGCAACCCTCTACTTGAATTAGATACCCTAGGTTAATTGTGATTATGCCATCCAAGCCTTGGTTTGAGGGAGAAGGTCAGTCAACCCTCAATTACTTGTGCCAAGAGGGATACAATTGTAGCCTCTAATGCTTACCTTGGCCTAGCGATTGAGAGGATGGTTTCTAACCATTGTTGCACCACCTCCTACGGATCACAATTGCCTCATCACTCACCGGTTTATTCTATCCCACGGTTCATGGTAGTTAGTTTGGGGGAAGCAACACCCGAGTGAAGCTTCTCACCAAGAGTTTTCCGCCCTTTTACCTTTCAAAGTCTTGCTTTTAAATCGTAGATAGTAGAGATTTCAACAAATAACAATTCGCTAGATAATGTTTCAAACAATTGAAGTAGGGGTACATGGGCCGGCACGGGTTGATACTTAAACATACTTGCCCTATATTGCACCCATCTAAGGTTTATACTTGGACTTTATGTGAGATTTTATTGTAATAGTCAGAGCGAGTCAGTCGTACCCTTTCAATCCTCTCATTTCTTTCTCTATATGATTTTTTATTGCATGTCCAACAAATAGTTGATGTGGACATTAACACTCTGTTTTTTAAGGGAGGAAATGGGGGGAAAGGGAAGTGTTGAAGGGAAAGCGCCATTTTCGAGGCTTTTCCCTTGTTTTTAAGCCTATCTATAGTTGCGAAGGAAAGAAAAGAGAAGGGAAGAAGAACTGTTCAAGCCACCCCTCCAATTTGGGGGGAAAGCTGATTTATTGAGTTCTCAGCGCCAACTTATAACCTTTTTTCCTTTTTTTCCTTTATTATATATATATATATATGTTGGTGGTGGTTTTCGGGGCCCTCATCAATTTTTTTCAGAAATTTTATTATCTCACTCCTTTATTTATTCCATAAACCAGCTGCATGGGTACCCGCTCACACGCATATAATTAATTTTTTCGGGTGTTACATTTTTTATAGAATGAACGTCATCTTGTACTACAAAGGTAATCAAATTTGTATGAAAAAATAAAATAGAGTTAAATGAACAATTTTTTGTTCCGTTAACAAATAATAAAAATGATGAGGGTTATGTAGAAATAGGTTATTCATAATATTCATTTTCACATTTTTGCATATACTTACTATTACATAATCAATAAAATAACTTTTATAAAAAATCAATAAAATAACATATCTATCACACTTTCCTATATACTTATCCCTTTCACTTTCCCCCATAAAACAACATTTTCTCTCCAATTCCCTTCCCCTCCAAATCTCCCCTCCCCTCCTAATTTTCCTTCACCTCCCCTCCTTTTCCTCCTTTCCTTCGGAAACATAGTGTAAGAATCCTTCCGTCATTTGTAATCTTCCAAAAAAATAGTGAGATTATATGTCTAAAGAGAGTTTCTCGAATCTTGAGAGACTGAGCGGGTGTGCAGGAAATCTGACTTTAATTCTCTAATGCGTTTTGAATGCTAGTGCGTGACCGTACTTATTTGAGTTATTTCTAACCGCGTTGAGTTTATGTGGAAAAGAAATGGCAAGGCGAGTGCGCAGAAGGACGAAGTAAAAAACAAGTACGCAATGGGTTAGATTGAACGAATTGGAAACGGCCACGTCTGAAGACGATCTTGAATCCGCAGTGAAGGAACGTTATCTACTTTGTGTTTCCCCCTTTTAGTTCCCCGGTCGGCCGCCTCCTTCTTCAAACCCAGAGCTACGGCATCGGTGGAAATGATGGCGAATAAACAACAACAGTCGCCGGGGAAGAGTGACCATCACAAAAACTCAGACTGCTTTCTTCCATCAAATTCCTTGCTGCTGGCTCTGTCCCCGTCTTTCGCACAGAACCCATTCCTCCTCAGGCCAATCCTAAAGAAATCCGGCCCAGAACTGCCGCCACCGCTGCACGAGCTTCACAGGTGCGTCGCTTCCGCCGTCGAGAACTGCTCCAGATTCCTGCAGTCCCTGGCGTCGGAAAACCCCATTGTTAAGACCATCATTTCCCTGTCGTCGGCCGTTCCACCACCGTCTTTCTCTCGGCGGGTAACGATTTTAATCATATATATATATCCCCGCAATTAAGAAAGAGAGAAGTCTCCGCGCCCTAATCTTTCTGTGTGTTTTCTTTTGTCCTGGGACTCAGACCGAATGCAAGGTCGCCGGGTCCGCAAACTTCGCCGCCATTCTTCCGGGAGACGCAGTGGCAGGGGTTGTGGTGGCGAATGGCATCCTCAATTTCCTCAACATCTACAACAGCCTGCTGGTTATAAGGCTTGTTCTCACCTGGTTCCCCAACTCTCCTCCGGCCATTGTCAGTCCCCTAAGGTACCATTCTTCTTTCTTTCTCTTTCCTAGTTGCAACCCTGTTTCAGCTTTGGGTGGCCTATAGTCATGGATTATTACAACATCACAATCACATACTTGATGAAGTTATACACTGCTCAACTGTCTGAGATGATTGTTGAGTAGCTCTTTGGTGCTTGATTTGCAGCACCTTGTGTGATCCTTACCTCAACATATTCCGCGGAATCATCCCGCCCCTTGGAGGGACATTGGATCTCTCGCCAATACTGGCATTCCTGGTTCTGAATGCCTTCACCAGCACAGCATCTGCAATCCCCGCTGAACTTCCGCCACCAGGTGAAGAAGGAACAGCTCCTCCCGTCGTTGTACGTAGGTCGCCTAACTGGTTGGGTCATCTCACCACATCACAGAGGAAGTGGATGTCAAGGCTGCATAACAGCAAGTCTAGTAAGGCATCGCACTGAATATCTTCATTTGCACACCACAAGGGCCTGCCAACCAAGTCTGCCTCCTGAACCTGGATTGCAATCTGTTTTCATGCCGTTTTTTTTATCAATCTTAGGCTCACTTTGCGCTTTACACCTTACTCAGCTATGGCTATACATAAGTATTATCTATTTTTTGGCGATAAGGAATTGACTTTACCATTACAAATGTCTTCGTTCATCTGGTTGGCAATGGCAGTGGATTACTCTTCTCCTAAACAGCCCTTCCTTCGGTTATAGAACTGAAAATTTGAGGGGGAAAATGAGAAAGGATTTCTTAATAGTTCTTGAGAGGTAATGTTTTCTTTCTTATAGTCACCTGGCATTTCGTTGGGTGCCTTCTGCCCAGGTTCCGTGGTTCGGCCTAATTCTAACCCTTCTGTGGATGGTTTGTCCTGGTTATTTCACTCCAATGAAGAAACATTGTCTTCCCCGTATCCTTGTCAGTGTCGTGGGGATGGATTAAAACTAAACGATCTTTCTACCTTTGAATCTTTTAGGTTGATCAAGTTTTGCAGGAAGCGTATTGTTCGTGGAGAACGTGTATCTTCCAGTAAACACTGCTTTTAAAAAGGAGGGGAAAAGAAAACACTTGCCGAAGAAGCTGTAAATGTGGAAGAAATGTGGAAACATTATCCTATCCACCACCTTAAAAAAGATACTGAGAGAGATGTCCTGTACACATTTAGTTTGGTTACAAAGCAGTGAAGAAGAATATTCTTTCTACTAGGACTATCTAGCTGAGTAGAGCGAGAGGTTCATGATTTAACAACAATCAGATGGACGGCCTCGGTTTCGTGAGATGGCACTTGGTTCCATTGAGGGCCCCCATCTTTTTTAGAGCCGCAACTCATAGGTCCACTGACTGAAAACCAGCTCCTCAATCCAAATCCTGAGACTGACCAATGATATCGACGAGCAGAAGTAACAGCAAGTTCACCTCCTCTGAGAGGCTGGCGGTAATATGCTTCAGCTTTTTGGCAGTGATTTCGCCTCTGTATATCGGCGGGAGGGAAGATCCAGAAGTTGAAGAGGAGACAGAGCCCTTTAACCTTGCCACTTGGCTGCCTCTGCTGCTCATCTTGGCAATCGCCTTTTCCCTGTACCTGGACCGCAGCTTTACCAAGTTCGATCCCAACTGGATTCACAGAGTCGGTGGCTCTTCTGGTGGTATTCTAGCAATCCTTCTTCTTCTTGGATTGGTCTTGAAGTGCAAGGAATCCATACTCAGTTGAGCAGACAGCAAAAAGAAAGGTTGCTGCTCACATGCTTAGCAGGTTTCTTCACCTCCAATTTCAGCAGCTTCTCCTATTTTGTTGTTGTTATTGTCCCTTCATCTAGTTTACTTTAGAAACGAAACGATGGCTTTGTGAAATTCCTCAATTAACTACACAGATCTACAGTAGCATCAAGCTCCTTGTTCCCCTTGATATTGCTTTTATGTACCGCAACAAGATAGACTCCTTCCTCAATCTGGCTACCATCTTTATGAAGTTGGGGTAAGATATCTTTGCTGCTTAGGTATGTCCGATGACTTGCAATTGGTACTTATATGTGTTAACTAAACATAACGTATATCGAAAAGAAAGAACATTAAATTTACGTGCTATCCTCAACGTATGATTGTCGAGATTAATTCACTGCACATTGGCGGTTTTTGTGGTTCTTATTGTCAATCAATGTCTCAAGAGTACAAATATATACATCTATCTTCCAAACCCTAGCCGAGAGAGGAAGATGGCTCAGCTGTTCCCCTTCTCAGCAGGCCTCTGTTCGTGGTAGGCAAATCTCGGAGGCTGGGCTTATTGCTTTTGAACTTCTTGACAGCATAAAGAATAGCAGAAAGCCCGACCTAATGTTTAAACTCGACATCGAACGTGCGTTTGACAATGTGAGCTGGAGCTGTCTTTTCAAAGTGATGGAATCTCCGGGGTTCCCTAAGAAATGGTGTGACTGGATTCGCGGAACTATGTGCTCTCCGATGATCTCGACGATTATCAATGGTGAGACTAAGGGGGTTTTCAAGACTAGTAAGGGTCTCCGGCAAGGCGATCCACTATCGCCAGGTCTGTTCACTATGATAATGGAGCTGCTCTCTTACTTGTTGAACAAACTGAAGGAGGAGGGTAAAATCAGGGGGTTTTGTATGAATGAGTCGAATGGGGCTGGAGAAGTAACTTATCTGCTGTTTGCAGATGATACGCTAATTTTTTGTGAGGCTTCTTACGACCAAGTTTTGTATATTCTGGTTGCTATGGTCTGTTTCCAAGCTATCACTGGCCTGAAGATTAATCCGGAGAAATCGATAATGATTCCAGTCGGGGATGTCCCCAACCCGGACGACTTTGCTGCTCTTTTCGGTTGCAATTGGAGCAGGGAGGTCTCGAAATACCTGGGATTCCCGTTAGGGGCCAAGGTCAGCTCTTCTGCAATCTGGGAGCCAATTATTGATAAGTATGAGAGGAGACTTGCAGGCTGGAAAGGTCGTTACCTTTCTCTGGGAGGGCGATTGGTCCTTAATAACGTTGTTCTTACCAGCCAACCTGTTTACTACTTCTCCTTTTTTCGTGCTCCTAGAGGAACTATTAATAGGTTGGAAAGAATCCAGAGGAGATTCTTATGGTGCGGGGCTAGTGAAGAATGGAAGATTCCTCTTGTTACATGGGATTTGTGCAAGGCTCCGAAAGAGAATGGGGGGCTGGGCGTAAAAGACCTCCACTGCTTTAACAAGGCTATGTTAGGTAAATGGCTATGGAAGTATGCAAGTGACAGAAACAGTTGGTGGAGGAAGTTGATTTCGCTGAAATATCCGTCTGAATCAGAATGGCAAAGCAGAAGGTGTAAGGGTGGGTACAGAGGTTCGGTTTGGGCTAATATTACAAAAGAATAGGAATTCTTTTGGAAGGTTTGCCATGTCGATCCAGGCAGCGGTGCTTGGGTTTCTTTTTGGAAAGATTTCTGGGTCCCTAATAGGATCTTAGTGGATGCTTTTCCTAGAGTTGCCGCTGCTGCCACCTTACCGGAAGCCTGGGTTTCTGACCTCGTCAACAACACAGGTACGGGTACTTTTTGGAACTTAAACTTCAATATTAATTTGAGGAGGGGGGGGGGGGGCTGAGAGAGAGGATGGAGTTCTTCAATGTCATTAATTCAGCCGTTACTGATCAAGTTCTTAGTGGCCCTAGTAGGGTGGTCTGGTCCCCAAAACCAAAGCTGTCCTTTTCTGTTCGTCTTTTGTACAGACACCTCATTAACAGCAGGTTCCCTGGCGTGGAGTAGTTCTCGGATGAATCAGTTTGGAGGAACTTTGTGCCTCACAAGATCTGTGCGTTCATGTGGACGGTTGCCCATATGAAGATCCTCACTCTTAACAACCTGCAGAGGAGAGGATGGGTTCTTGCTAACCGGTGTTGTCTGTGCTTCAAGGCTGTGGAATCCATAAACCACATGTTCATTGATTGTGTCTTCACCAAGGAAATCTGGGAGGCTGTTAGAAGGGTCTGCAGCAACATTTCGATTCCCTCGGGTGACATCCTTAACACTATTAGACGATGGAGCTGCGACTATCCGGATAACCTCGCCGATTGGATTGTCTACGGGGCGCTTCACATGATCTGTTGCCAGGTATGGCTCGAAAGGAATCAATGTACGTTCAGAGATCGGAGTAAAGGGCCAGTCGCTTTTTTCCAAAAGTCTATCAGCTAGATTGTTGAGTGTGTTGTTGCGTTTGGTAAAGCCAGCAAGGAACAGGGAAAGGAGTGGTTGAGGAACAACAACATTCAAAGTTTTTAGCTTTATGTGTGCTCTGCTCTCGGGTTTGTTGTCCTTTGCGGATGCTTGCAGGGTGTATGGTTGTTGTTGTTTGCTTCACATACTGATTGCGAGGGTTAGTAGGGTGATCTGGTGGCTGCTGTTAGCTTCCTTTGTCGCTGGTTTTTGGGTTTTTAGTCAGGGGCTGTTTGGTCAGCCTAGACGGGGGGTGGGTAGTGTATTTCGTCTCGGGAGGCGAAGGGCTGGGCTTTCTGTTGATTTTCGTTTGTTCTACTTCCCTTCTCTCGGTTAGTTCTCGGTTCGTTCTGGAGTGTTGGATGTACTTATCGTGCGGCTTGAACCTTTGCTGGGTTGTTTTCCTTTTATTAATAATATTTCTTTCACCATTATCAAAAAACATTGTACAAATATATACATGTGTATATGAGCCCAAAACCCATCAGTCACCAGCCTCCCAAACTAATAGAGGTCTTCATCATCAATTTACCATCAAGAAAAAAACTACGACTGATAGAGAAGACCTTAGTTAGGATATCAGCAATATAGTCCTCGGAAGTCCTCCAATAATATATAATAGAGTTTTGTCTACTTTTCTCTATGTCAAATTTCCTGCAATGAGAGTGAAAGTAGGAAGGACATTTTTATCTTTACAATTAATTAATTATTTTATATAAAAAATGTTAATATTAGGATTTGAACTCGGGCTTCGAACAAAAAAATTTAATACAAAACATACACGAAGTGACACTCTAAAAATCAGAGGACTTTTTGATCATGATTGGCTAACCCACTAAGTCTATCGTATATATTTTTATGGTACTTGATACTGCAATCTTCATAGCAGAGTTTCATGTAGTTTCTCAATTCTAAAATCACTACTCTCTCCTTGATTTTCGTGTTGTGTTGTGTCCTTGCATTTTTTAATTTATATTAGAATTTGTACTTTTTTTAATTTTGTTCTTATCTCTTTCTAACTTCCTCTGAAATTCCCTTCATCGTGCAATAGTTTGGCCCCTTTCACTTCACAGTACAAGGCCACCTTTGAAAATCAATCTTCCGCTCTCTTGGCACTACGATTTTATTCTTGAGGATTTAAATTGGGCAAGTAAAAGATTTCAACTCTGATATCAATCCATGGCGAATAGAATGGAGTTCAATAAATGGAGGTGCAGAAGAAGGATTAAAAATTGAATTTTTTGTTGAAACATACGCCTTTTGAGATTGAAGATAGAGTGGATAAAAAAAATTATTGTACAACGGAGAGTGGTGGCTATTGGATCTTTAGGTGTATGGTTTTTGAAGATATCGCAACCTAATTCTATCTTAAAATGAGGAATCATCGATTGATTTACTGAAGTAGGTTGGTCGATTCTTTAATCAACCTACTGGAACTGATAGAGAAGGAGTGACTAATTTTGTTCCTTATTACTTTGATAGAGTCTATTAGTATATTGGAGGTAACCCTAATTTTGCCGTTTGATCGAGTCTATTAAACGAAACATGAAAATATAAATAATCAAACATGAATATTCCGGCCAACGGGCCAGGTTATAAGCTAGTAATGTAAAAGACTCTAATACTGCCATCACGAAGAAGATCTCTTGATATGAGCACGAGTTTGGTACTCGTAGTTATTAAAGTAACGCAGCTTCAAGAACGAACAAGAAAATAGATTTTTAGGGTTTTTGTTTTTGTTTGTGATAGGATGGAATTGAAAGTACAATCTCAACACAAGATGGGAGAAGGATCTAACAATATAAAAGATAGAATTTCGACCACAATCAACGAGAAAACTTGATTGATACAGAAAAAATTCTCAAGCTAATGTAATTGAAATTCATTGTAAGAGACAATGATTTGCTAGTCATTAAGTGAAAACGTGAGTTGTTAATAAAGATGTAAACCAATGATAGTGTTATTCAAATCATAATAATGATTTTACGTAACTTTAATAATTCATTTATAAGTGTTAATAATTGAAATCATAAATAATTAGTTTTCTGAATAGATTATTAATTATTAAATGTTAATAATGTCATTGCAAAACATTAATAATGTAGTTGCAAGTTGCCACTGAGAGAGGTAGTGTAGACATTTTTTATTTTGAATTTCCATTTTTAAAATCATAAAATATGAGATAATAATCTAAATTAAATAGTTCCAAATTTCCATTTAAAGTCATTAAATATGAGATAATAATATACATTAGCTTGAGAAGACATTTTTTATTTTTGAATTTCAATTTTTAATATTATTTTTAATTTTTAATTTTTAATTTTTAATATCATTAAATATGAGATAATAATATAAATTAAATAGTTCCAAATTTCCATTTAAAGTCGAGTTTAGGAGAGAGAAATAATTTTTTTAATATTAAATTATATTAGTTATATTTTCATAATACCTCATTTGTCCTTTTGGATAATTACCTCAATTCCTCTTTCTCCTCTTTCTATTGGCTAACAAAAGACTAAAAAGCTTCTTAAACTTATAGACTTAGGCACAAGATCTGACCCGAGCAGTTAAGGTGCATATTCGAGGGGTTGCAACTTGAGGTGGAAATTGCAGGGGGTATAAAATGATGGGGGTATAAGGGGATGGGGAAATTGATGCATGCAATGAAAAAGTAG